TATTTTTTTTTTTGGTACCGGGGATCAAACTCAGGATCTTGTGTTTGCGAAGCAGTCATGGCACCACTAAGCTAAATCCCCAGCCCCTGTATTTTTGTACAGAAAAGAATTTTTGAATTATGAAGTGTGCCTTGGAAATAGGTATAGTTTCAGGATCTGAACATAGTCTTTTTCTGGAATCATGACTCAATCTTCATTTTATTGCAAATTTGCTTTCCACCTATTTTTTTCTGAATTCCAAACAAGCTAAACATATGGTTAGCCACGTGGACATTTGTTTCCTATGATGTATGTGTGTATTAACATATATCTTTGAACTGCTGCAATGAAGATGGCTTCAAATTATAGTGGTTTAAAGAAGATACAACTCTGTTTATCTCTTTCATCATAGTTCACAGATAAGCTGGTGCCAGAGACCCATATTTATTACTCTGCCATTTCCTAAGACAGACTTAGCAAACTCTGCCTCGTGGGCAAATCCAACCTGCTGTCTCTTTTTCTAAATAAAATTTAACAGGAAACTCCCTAAAAATTGAGGCTTTTGGACTAGATTAGCTTAAAGATTATCTCTAAGAGTCAATCTATGAGGATTCTATGAAAAAAAAAATATATATATATATATATATATATGTATTGGCTACTTTATTGCTAGAGCTGAGTGGCTGTGACCACAGACTGTGTGGTGCCTAAAGTTTGAATTAAAAACTCTTTCATGTGGGTAGTGTCATCCTCATGGTTAAGCAAACTCAAAAGATTGTATTCGCATTGTATCCAGTGGGGGTTGGAGGAGGAAGAGGACATGAAAACAAGTAAATACAAACACAATCTAGAAGTCCCATATCACTTCTGCTCATATTCCACTGGACTAAATTGAATCATACCCAGCACAAGGGAGCTTAGGAATCATAGTTACTAACCAGAATAACCATGTGCTTAGCTAAAATTCAGATTAAAGAGAAAAGTTGCTGGAGGGCATTTAGTAACCCTTTCTCAATCTGTTCTTCCAGGTCCCCATTATTCTTATTTTGGGGCAGGGTAAGAACATACTTAACCTTTCAGGAAGGCATCCTGAATTCCTTACTAATTTCTTTCTTTTTTTTTTTTTTTGGTACTGGGGATCGAACTTGCGACCTTATGCTTGCGAGGCAGGCGCCAGAACCACTGAGCTAAATCCCCAGCCCTCCGTACTGATTTCTATAGCTACTGCATCACCTAGAGATTCAAGATGTACATCAGATTAAGATCTCTAGGTGATGTACATTCCTCTTCATTATATGTACAAGTTTTTATTGCTCCCCCTTACTTTATGTACTATTATGCATTGGTGGAATAGGAACAAGATAACCCCTATTTGGAAAAATGAAAAATACATAGCAGTCATTGATCATAACAGCTAATCTTTCTGGGTAGCAGTTGTGTCAGTTCTCTGCTGTGTGGTGAAGTGATACCTCAGACCTTCTGGCTGCCTCTGGTTTTGCTCCTTGGAATTAAGTCCTTTGTCCATTGTCCTACAAGACTGCTGACTTTGTTCTCTGGGAAGTTCTTCCTTGTTTAGTTTTTTCTGAGAATTGGGCTTTGCAGACTGCCTACGTTGGTGGTACTATCACAGACCACTAGCAGTACAAATACTACTCCAAGCATCAACCACAGGCTTTTGAAGGCCAGGCTTGTGGCTTGTTCAGAAATATACTTCCCTCAAAAATTTAATAAGCTTCTGGGCTATATGCTTCTATTAAACTGCAGATTGGAGTAACCATACTCAGAGATTCTTCTCGATGTAGCAACTTTTATTTACTGGCTTCTGTGCTTAGCCTATCCCTCTCCTCAATTTAATGTTGACTGCCTTGGGGCCAGCTGCAACTAAAGCAGGTCCCTTAATCTGAGCTTTGACACTGAGTTGCTTCAGGGTGAGAATCTAATCTTTTATTTTGGGGGGACCTAAGTAGTTTCCTTTTTCAACATTCTGTCTCAAACCATTTTTCTTAAGGTTTAGTTGGTATGTGATCAGTGTTTCATTATTGAAGGAAATGGTTTACTAAATTTCATGTCATACCATAAGGAGGCTATCAGCTTTCCAGTCTGCAGTGTCTGTTTTTCTTGCTACTCATTACCCTATTGCTAAGTAACACCAGAAGTTTTAATCTTTTTAAATAGCAGCATCCTACCTATAGTTACTAATACTGTATGTGTTGATTAGGATGCAAGTTAAGATACTGTAGTAAAAAGATTTAGAAAACATAGTTATACAAATAAGATAGAAGTTTGTTTTTCTTTCCCATCATAGTCTGAGGTGAGTTTTACAGGACTGATAGGACAGTTCTATTCCATGAGCTATCTTGGGATTCAGTTTTTTCTATTTTGCTTTGGCATTCTTACTATGTTCTCATCTTCAGGGCTGAAACTGGCTTGCAACGTCATGATGATATTCCACTGCATCTTCAAAGGAGAAGCCAGAAATGGGACATAGGCAATTTTCTTTTCAAAATATGATTCAGAATTTTACGTATCACTCATCAAAATTAGTCACTAGCTATGAAAGGTTGCACAACCTTCCTGTATCTGATAGCCATGTCTCGAAAAAGGGGCAGCAAACTGGGAATACTAGAAACCAGGAATAGTGAAGAGTCTCCTGCCATATGTTTGTTGCCACCCTTACCCCCCACCACCACCACCACCTACATGTCCTTATTTTGATCGGATAAGGTTGTGATCTGAAGTGACTCTTCTCCTAGCTTTGAGTCTGTTGTCCATGTCCAGGGATGTTGTATAATTATCAGAAGAGGTGAAATTTATCCAAATGTGGCTAAAAGCGTTTGGTTGCTCTTATAAACACTGAATAGTTGAGTCAGGGAGAGCCTGTTGATAGTTGCAGTAATCCATCAGTTGGACAGGGTGAGATATTTACATTTGTTTATCCTTCTTTGAGTGTGCGGTGAAACTTGCCAAAATGGTTGGTTATGTGAGTGCTGGAACTGTGGAATATTTGTACAGCCAGGATGGCAGCTTCTACTTTCTGGAACTGAACCCTCGGCTACAGGTGGAGCACCCTTGTACAGAAATGGTGGCTGATGTCAATCTTCCTGCAGCACAACTCCAGGTGAGTCACCCTGACACAGGCTCAAGTTAGAGCTAAGAGAAGCTAGAAATATCAGAGATGCCTGAAAAACCGGTTTAATCAGTGTCTGATAAGAGAAAAGTACCTCCTATATGAGTTGTACCTTGTATTCATTTCTCTTATGCTTTTTAGGTTATACATGTGAGGCTGATTTTCCTGATGTTGTATAAACCTAGGAATATTATTGTATTTTCTGTCCAGACACATATGATGTAGATGGTTCCATTTTAGCAAGAAACTTTAAAAACAATGTTTTGTTCAATTGTTTATACTAAACTCTACAATGTTGTAATTAGCCTCTATTCTTTTTTCCTAGTGTCTTTTATTGAAGTAACTCTATCTGAGTGGTGTTTGTGGTTTTTTTCTTGGCAGACTGTGATTGCCTTTTTTTTTTTTAATGTGTAAAGTGATGCCTGTCAGTATTTCCTTCTCTCATCCCAGGAAATAAATACATTGGGACACAGTAATAGCTAATGATAAAGTTTAATAATATTTTTATGTAATGTTATATCTTTTACCCATACTGAGAATACCTTCTAAGTTCACGTTAAAGACTTAAGATTCATTTACTTCTTCCAGTGGTTTGTGGGCATGGAAGAGATAACTATAACCTTGTAAGACTTTGTAGTTGTCTGAACTTTGTGGGTGGCTACTATCACTGACTCTTCCCTTGGGTATTTTCATTCTCATTTCTTCAAGGAGAAACGACAACAGATGGAAACTCATGTCTATTAGATTTATGAATTTAGGGACACTTCTAGCAACTTATCTGTAGAGATATATTCTATTTTGAGTAATTTAGGATTGATGATTATAGAATACAGGCTATAAAAATAGAATGTTTTAGGTAGTGGCTCCAAGAGTGAAAGATCTCTTGGGTAATCTGATAGCTTCTATACTTTAAGGAAAGTAACGGTGAAAAATGAATGATGTGTGTTTTATTATCTTTTAGATTGCCATGGGGATCCCTCTATTTAGAATCAAGGATATCCGGATGATGTATGGGGTATCTCCCTGGGGTGATGCTCCTATTGATTTTGAAAATTCTGCTCACGTTCCTTGCCCAAGGGGCCATGTCATTGCTGCCCGGATCACTAGTGAAAATCCAGATGAGGTAAACCATCACTTAAAGGGTTTCTTTTTTTTCTTTGCGCATTTTAATATTAGGGTAGTATCTGAGGGCATACTTCTGAAATATCTTGAAGCTCCCTTTGGAGGGGGAAACTTTCTTTTTATTAGTACATGTTTGCAGTATATGATTACAGTTATCCTGGGGAGTTGGTACATGTGCATAATACGTTTAATTTTCCTCCCCTCCTTCCTCTCCTACCCTTCCTTTCCCTCTCACTCCTTCCAAATCTTGGTCCCCTTCTGGAGAGGGAAATTTATACAGGCTTCTGAGAGCACGTAAGTGATCATTGTTTCATTGGTCATTTAATCCTACTTCAGACACTAAAAAGTCCTCAGTGGGTTAGGAGCTTTGGGCCTTTGCCTTTGTGACTTTTCTGCTTTATTTTTATAACTGTTTATAATTAACACAGAGCCTGAACACTGAATATATCAGTATTTTTTGGGATTATAATGCAGTCTCTCTTTTTCTTCACTCTCTAACAGGGTTTTAAGCCCAGCTCAGGAACAGTTCAGGAACTAAATTTCCGCAGCAACAAGAATGTTTGGGGTTATTTCAGTGTTGCTGCTGCAGGAGGACTTCATGAATTTGCTGATTCTCAGTTTGGTCACTGCTTTTCCTGGGGAGAAAACAGAGAAGAAGCAATTTCGTGAGTATAATAACATTTGATAGCATTTTACAAAATAAATTTTTGCTAATCTTCAGTGAAGATTATGAGCATGAGAATAGAAATAATTTCTCTGCTCTGAAAGTACTATTATGGAAAAACTTTTTGAAGAAATGTATCTTAGTTTGGAATCATGTTGTATTAAATTATGCAGTATTTGGCAGATTTTTTGTTTGTTGTTCTGAGCCTTTTCAGGTATTTTTGCTTGCATTTATTGATTGATTGATTGATTGACTGGTTGGAGGTTGTAATTTTTGAGGCAGAATCTCACTCTGTAGTCCAACCTGGCCTCAGAGGCTGGCCTTGAACTCTTGACGGTCCTCTTACTTTAGCCTCCTGCGTGCTGGGATTACAGGTATGCACCACCATGCCTGACATACAAAATCAGTGCTTTAAAGGTATCCTCTTTTTTTGCAGGAACATTATTGTTATGGTGGGAGGTAGATTTTTGACCAAGAATATAGTATCAAATAAGGGCCGGGGATTTAGCTCAGTGGTTTCACCACCTGCTGTGCAAGCGCAAGGACCCGAGTTCGATCTCTGGTACCAAAAAAAAATATAGTATCAAATAAGTCATAGATAAATATTTGTCATCAAAATAAAGGTATAGCTGAATTTTATTTATTTTATTTTATTTTTTGTGATGGTGGGATCAAACCCTCAGTCTCAAGGTACATCTGTAAATGTGATTTTAAAAATTTTGAAAGGCTGGGGTGTAGCTCAGCGAAGGAGCACTTGGCTGGCATGTATGAAGCCCTACGTTCCATACTCATCACTGTAAAAACAAACACATATATATATATATATTCAAGAAGTAAGCATTCTATGTATTTATGGTATATGTATTAGCTACTTTCTGTTGCAGAGACATAGTATCTGACACCCCCAACTTAAAAGAGGTTTATTTTGGGTCAGTTTCTATGGTTTCTGTCCATGGTAAGGAGGCTTCAAGGCATGGTAGAGAAATGCTGCTTATGGAAATCAGGAGGACCAAGGGACAAGAAGCTACCTCTGCTGACCTAAGTCCCAAACCAGGCGCCACCTCTGAAACATGATACTTTTGGGGGACATTTTAGATCTAAATCATAACATTCTTCCCTGTCCCTGAAAAGGTTCATGTACATCTCATGTAAAATACATTTAGTTCATTTCTTTTTTTTTTGGTGCTGGGGATCAAACTCGGGACCTTGCTCTTGGAAGGCAGGCCACAGAACCACTGAGCTAAATTCCCGGCCCTATTTAGTTCGTTTCTAAGATTCGCCAGTGTTTTAACACTTTCAGCATTGCAGAAAAGTACAATTTCAGAATCTCCTGAGACTCAAGGTAAACTCTTAGTTATAAGCCCCTGTAAAAATTAAAAAGAAAGGTAAACACTTCCAACATTCCCATCCTAAAATGGAGAAATAGGAATAGATAGTAATGTGACCAAAGCAAGACTAGAACTAAGCAGTTTAAACACTAAATCCTGTAGCTTCATGTTCAAAACTCAGGGCAGGTGGTGCTAAACTGTGAGTTCTAGAGGGCTTGGCTACCCTGCTCCTTGTAGCCTTCCTGGTTACAGCCCTCATGGCCTTTCTTGGGCTGGCTCTATTTACTGTTTGCAATTTTCCTCAGCAGATGTTCCTACTGCTGGCATCTCCAACTTCCTGGAGGTTTTACTACATCTTCAGCTTCACTCTCACAGCTGTATATATCACCCTCTCAGGGGCTCCTGTCAGGGACAGTGACTCTGTCAAACATTTTTACCTGGCCTTCAAGGCTTTCTGAAATCTGGGTGGAAAGCCCTTTGACTCCATAACTCTTGCATTCTGTATGCCTGAAAAACTAGTAGTTTATGGATGATGCCAAGGTCTGCCACCAACTCAAGCAGTAGCCTGGCCCTCTTGGACCATGACTGTAGTCACTGCTACAGTCTGGATGAGTCCTGGTGGCTGAGCACAGTGAAATGAATCCCAATTCCCTAGGAGGTTCTCAGGCCAGAGTCTCAGGGGCTCTCGTCTTAGATGAAAGCCTTGTAGTTTTATACCCACAAGCCTGTGGTGGGGGGGGTGGTTCCGGTCAATTCCTGAGATGCCTTCAGGCCATCTTTTCTATTGCTCTGATGCATTTTCGTCTTTTTTTAAAATGCTAATCTTTTCAGCAGTCATGTTCTTAGTGGCCCCAACTTTACAGGCAGCTTCTTTTTTGATGAAATGGCAAACTTTTCAAATCATTTAGATCTGTTGTTTTTCCTGATTTTCATTATACATCTGAACATTGGGCTGCTTTGAAATTTCTTCCATTAGATCAATTAGTCTGCCATCTTTAGCCGCTTACAGTCCAATTATTTAAATATTTATGATGACCAAATATTCCATTTCTTTCATTAATTTTTGTAAGATAACGGGAAATATAAAAATGATAATTTTATCAAATTTATTCAATAGAACAATTGACTGGTTGAAATGAAACCTGCTTGAGTGATGCTCAGGATAGTATATAAACAAACTTGCTGCCTGAATGACACTGGGAACAAACTTAAGTGGTTAAATTCAGCCTCATACAAAGTCTTAGGACATGACAAAATGTAGACCAATTCTTTTCTGGAACTGGCCTCTAGTTCAGTTTCCAATACAGTTCTCATTCTCATATGAAACCTCATGAGCCTGGCTTTTACTGTCTACATTTCTAGTAGCATTCTTGTCTTCTGAGCTCTGACCAAAATTGCCCTCCAAGCTCTGCTTAATAGCATTCTAGGGTTTCTATAAGCCACATCACAAACTTTTCCAAACTCCCATAAACCAATTCCAAAGGCTTCTAAACCATATAGTCTGGTGCAGTCATATCAATAACCCTACTTTCTGTACCAGTTTTCTGTATTGGTCAGCTTTTCCTTCACTGAAACACAGTACCTGACAGCCACAACTGAAATGAAGAAAGGCTTTTTTGGTTCATAATTTCAGTGGGTTCAGTCCATGGTCAGCAGGTTCCAAGGCAAAAATGGCATGGTGGAGGAATACTACTCATGCCATAGTGGCCAGGAAGCAGACAGAGAGGGGAGTAGCCAAGGACAAGAATACATACTTCTAGTTCACACCCCCAGTGATGCAATTCTTCTAACCAGGTCCTCTGATATTGGGGAACATTTTAGATCTAAACCATAATGTATATCACATGATATTTCGATACATGTATATATTGTAGAATAACTAAATCAAGCTGTTTTGTTTTTTTGTTTTGTTTTGTTTTTTGTGGTACCGGGAATCGAACTCGGGACCTTGTTGCTTGCGAGGCAGGCGCTGGAACCACTGAGCTAAATCCCTGGCCCTAGATCAAACTGTTTATATGCATTATATCACATACCTTTTTTTTGTGGTGAGAACACTTAAAATCTGCTCTTAGCAATTTTCAAGTAAATAATATGTTATTAAGTACAGTCAACATGATGTACTCTTCTGATCATTTAAAATAATAAAATTTTATGGTTCATTTTATGAAAAGTATATAAAAGAATTATGTTTATTGCATATATAAGACTTCACTGTGCTATAAAGTATTCAACTATAACTGGTATTATTAAATATTAGTATTCTATTAATCATAAACACTAAATATCAAATTAACAATGTTGTTTGCCTAAAAGGTTGGACTTACGAAATAATTTTGACAGCTTATCTATTTTAAAATATCTGTGCAAAGTTGAATTAGTTTTTTCTTGTTTTTTGTCTTTTGTTTTTCCTTTTTTTGGTGGTGTACATTCTAGGCAAGTACTCTACGACTGTGCTGCACTTCACCACTTCTATTTTTTAATTGTTTATTGCTTTATATTTGCACATTCAATATTTTTCTCTTGACCTTTGAACTGTACAGAGTAGGTTATTAGTATTTGTTAGTCTTCTTAGTTTTTTTAATAATGTTTTCAGAAGTAGAGAAGTCTCACTATTTTTGTTTTATCCTTTACAGTTCTTCCCCATTTATTAAAAACATTTACATAAGTAGAATTTTTCCAAATTACAGCAGTGCCACCAGGAAACAATACTGATATAATGTCACTATTTAAAAACACATTTCTTTTACTGCCATATTCTGTTCTGTTAACATGAAGAAGGCTCACACTAGAACTCAGAAATTGTTATTTTGGCCAGTGTTGGCTTACAGATATGTCTTATTGAATCACAGAGTGCTGGTTTTTATTTTTTTTTTAACTTTCCAGTGTTTATTTTGTGTTTTTTTGGTACTGGGGATAGAACTCAGGACCTTGTGCTTGCAAGGCAGGCGCCGGAACCACGGAGCTAAATCCCCGGCCCCCTTGCCAGTGTTTAAAAATTGAGAGAGAAATAAAATATGGACTTCTGCTTTCTCTTTAAAAATGGGATGATAGCCAGGTACAGTGGCACACACCTGTAATCCCAGCTACTTGAGAGGCAGAGCATCAGCCTGGGCACCACTGTAAAGACCTATCTCAAAAGAAAGGGTTGGGGCCGGGGATTTAGCTCAGTGGTTCCAGCGCCTGCCTTGAAAGCGCAGGGTCCCGAGTTTGATCCCTGGTACCAAAAAAAACCCACAAACCTTAAAGGAAAATGTGTCCTATGTAATATCAAGTGGGAAAAGGACACGAGATTTTATGTACAAAGAGATTTATTGCACCATTTTAGTAAAACTGGGGGGAAATGGGTTAAAAATGTAGCTCAGTGGGAGAGCATTTGCCTAATAAGCAGGAGGCCCTAGGTTCAATCCCCAGTTGATAAAAAAAAGCCAAGGTTGGTGACAAATGCCTGTAATCCCAGCACTCAGGGAGGCTGAGGCAGGAGAATCACAAATTCAAGCCCAGCCTAGGCAATTTAGCAGCTTAGCAAGATGCTGTCTCATGGGCCGTGGATTTAGCTCAGTGGTTCCTCTGCCTGCCTCACAAGTGCAAGGACCCGAGTTCGATCCCTGGTACCAAAAAAAAAAAAAGGGTGGAGGAAATACTGACAACATTGCTTTTACATTACCACTTGGGAAAAGTTAGCTGAAGCCAGGTGTGGTGGTTCATGTTTATAATCCCAGCATTTTGGGAGCCTGAGGCAGGAGGATCACAAGTTTGAGGCCAGCCTAGGCATTTTAGTGACTTACCAAGACCCTGTCTCAAAATATAAAATAAAAACAAGTTGGATGTAGCTCCGTGTAAAGGTCCTAGGTTCAATTCCCAGTACCAAAAAATAAATAACCCCCACAACTTAATAAAATATATGGATGGAGAAAATTTATGCCCAGTAAGAAAATGAAATGATGGAAATCTAATAAATGAAAGTTGAGTTGTTTTCCATATAATTTATGCTTGATATAATGAAATGTATGTGTTTTGCTTATGCTTTTATGGTAGTATTAGTCAGAATTCCTAAGCTTACTGACTTCTTGCTAATTTTCCTGTTTGGAATGTGCATGAATGAGCATACTAACATATTCACCCATATTTGTTCTTGGAACTGTTTCTCCCTCTTCCCTTTCTCCTAAGAGCCCAGAGGAATGAAGCAATTCTTTTTTTTTTTTTTTGGTACCGGGGATCGAACTCAGGTCCTTGTGCTTGAGCAGCAGGCGGTGAAACCACTGAGCTAAATCCCCAGCCCCAAAACAATTCTTTAAAATGATTGAAAAACACTACAATATTTGTTGCTGAAACCAACTGTCTTCTGTTCTATTCCCAGAAATATGGTGGTGGCTTTGAAGGAGCTCTCTATTCGGGGTGATTTTCGAACTACAGTTGAATACCTGATCAAATTATTAGAGACTGAAAGCTTTCAGTTGAATAGAATTGACACTGGTTGGCTGGACAGACTGATAGCAGAAAAAGTACAGGTGCGTTTCTCCCCTTGCCTTAAATAACTTCTGTGATTAGGTTTTTGTAGGCTTGAGGTATGTTCATCTCTGTCTCTGGGTGAAATTTATTTGCTTCTAATGTCTACTCGGAAAAATCTAGAAGTTAGAGTGATTTTAGGCCCTGTACGAGTCCCTGTGCCAGGCTGTGGATGTAGCTCAGTGGTAAAATACTTGCCTAGTGTGCAGGAGCCCCTGAGTTTGATCTCTAGCACCACAAAAATAAATAAAATTATAGTGCCTATGTTACAGAGGTATTTTATATATTGTAGTATTACTTCCAGTGTATATTTGAAGAGAGGCATATAGGGATTAGAATACTACTTTAACTTTCTTCACTGACATTCAATCACTGTGAAACTGAGGTACCAGTTTCCATATCTACTAAGTGCTGATGAAATTAACAATCGTGCTGTGGTGCTGAATTGCTGGGCTTTTTTGAATTAGCCAAAATTTTGTATAAAATTATTGGATTCATTTAAATTGTATGAATGTCCATATTTTGACTGATTACCATTTTTCTTTAAGATTATCAGTAGCCAAATCTTTGTACTTTTTAAAATTTATTTTGGACAAAAGTTCATTTTTGAGCTGGTCTTTAATTGGCTCAGTGGAAATATGAAGAGTGGTAGGAAAGTTGTTTTTCATCTCTTTTCAAAGGGTACTTTTTATTTAAATTCTAAAAGTAGGGGCTGGGGATTTAGCTCAGTGGTTCTGGGACCTGCCTTGCAAGCACAAGGTCCCGTGTTTGATCCCTGGTACCAAAAAAAACCACCAAATAAATTCTAAAAGTAAATATAAAGGGGGGGGGCGAGCTCTCAAAAATCAGTCAGGTAATAATGGTGGAGATTGCTCTTCATTTTCATTGTTATTTACAATAAATTTAAGTCTGATTTCTCTTGTGTGGCCATGATGTTAAGTGACTGTGTTTTTGATCTGCCCTCTGTTTTCTTCTTTTTAGGCAGAACGACCTGACACCATGTTGGGAGTTGTGTGTGGGGCTCTTCATGTGGCAGATGTGAGCCTGCGGAACAGCATCTCTAACTTCCTTCACTCTTTAGAAAGGTAAGGTTGGTTTCTTATGGGAAGTGTTAGCTAAGCAACCGTCTTGAGTACAGGACCACTGCTCAAATACCCATTTATTTTTCTATTCCTGCCTGGTGGCTTGGGAGTGCTATTTTTTATTCATGGATTGGTGGCAAGGGAAAGAGAGGACATGTAATTCATGGCAAATTATTTTAGGACTCTAACTCCAGATCCTAGAAATAAGCTTATTTTACAGTTTGCAATTATCAAAACTCCCCCAAATCTTTGTAATAAAGATCTGGGATTTCTCCCTAGCATTGAACCCTAAATATATCATATATTACTTGTACCACTTTTCAGCAATTAATAATTGAGGCTGATATTTAGGGTGACCTCACAAGTCTTTCGACTAGAAGGTTTAGGCATGTACGGGCCTGAACTAATTTCTAACACTGATTCTGGAGACTAAGCTCAGCCTTTGAGTTCCCAGAGGAATTGGCTGAAGAGCTAATCATATTAAGGCACTTTAATCTCAGGCACTTTATTTCTTTCTCTGTTGTTAGACTTATAACAACTCCCTTTTGAAGTGTCTGAAAGGAAGAAAAGAAACAAAATTTTGAAAATTGAACAGAGATTGCACAGTTATTCAAGCACTATGATAAATATCTTTCATTGTGTTATTCCCAAGTAATAAGACCTTCTGCAACTTGTTTTTCTTTTCTGTATCAAATCTAAATCCCTCAGCATGACTTTCAACTCATTCAATCCTTTGGCCCCCCTTTACCAATCCAGTCTTTTTATTTCTGTTTTTCAACATACAATCTCTAACTGTTAAATCATCTCCTAGTGATGCACAAATGTGTCACATATAATCTCCTCTGCAAGCCACCCCCACTTTAATGTTATTTTTAATTTATTTTTAAAACTTATGTAATTTAGGTCCAGAGACTAAGCTGCCTTGTAACCACAAGTATACTTAACACTGTAGAACTATACATTTAAAAATGGTTGCGCTAGTACAGTTTGTTGTGTGTATTTTATCATAATTAAAAATAAAAGGTTTCATTATATGTTTTTTGCATAATTTAGGTGATCAGTCCCTTACAGATAGTTATTTAGGTTGTTTCTTATCTTGCTATTTCAGGAAATGCCACAACCAAAAATCTTTGAGATTCCTTTATAAACCATTAGAACTTTCTAGAAGTACTGTTTTTATTTCAGGGGTCAAGTCCTACCTGCTCATACACTTCTGAACACAGTCGATGTTGAACTTATCTACGATGGAATCAAGTATGTACTTAAGGTATGCAAACCTCACAGAAACCTGCATCTTGTCTTTTTGCCTCTCTTTGTTACCTAGTTCTCTTTAGGTCAAGAGATAAGGAAAAGTTTGGTTTAGTGTAGGGATGGAGGTGTTAGTGAAATTATAGTCATTATTTGTGTGAGTAGCTGAAGCAGTATTTGATGATTCTATGAAAATATTTTTTGTTGCTTTTCAACCTCACATTACAGCTGAGAAATAAAGGGGAGATAGGGAACAACCAGAGCAGAGAGAAGCAACTTAAGTAGTCTTGTTTGCGTGTAGCAGGACTGAGCCGTGGCTGATAGATGCTGAGGCAAATAGCACTAGGGTCCTGAATTTCCTTCTTCCTAACACATTTTTTAACCTGTATCTTGAAATGCTGAAGTTTTGTCTGGGACTCTACCTAGAAGGAACATGCTAACTTGTCCCTGATGGTTCTCATTCATTACAGGTAACTCGACAGTCTCCCAACTCCTATGTGGTGATCATGAATGGCTCATGTGTGGAAGTAGATGTCCACCGTCTGAGTGACGGAGGACTGCTCTTGTCCTATGATGGCAGTAGTTATACCACATACATGAAGGAGGAAGTGGATAGGTATGTGACTGAGCGTTGTTCATTGTATTAATTTTTACTCTTGCTATTGCTAGTTTGTAGGACTTTTCTAGCTGCCCAACCCCTTTAGCAGTACTGTGGATTTAACTTTTATTTTGAAACAGGGTGTCATTAAATTGCCCAGGTTGGCCTCAAATTTGTGATCCTTCTGCTTCAATCTTCTGATTAGTTGGAACTATAGGTATGTACCGCCATGCCTGGCTGGTATACTCATTTTTAATTAAAGAAAAGTACATGCACTTCAATATTGCAAGACTGCAGAAGTGTTTACAATAAAAACATATCTCAAGCTGGGTATGCTAGTGCACATTTATAGTCCTGGCTGTTTGGGAGGCTGACGCAGGAGGTTGGCTTGAGCCCAGGAGTCTGGGACCATACTAGGCAAAAACCACATCTATTGAAGGGTGGGAAGAGAAAACAAGTCTTCCTACTACTCTGATGTGGATGGATAATGAAAAATTTATAAGCAACCACTATTAACCCTTTCTTGTATGTAAACTACACATATGTATATACTGAGTTTTTCCTTTATGTACATTCAGAAATAAAGCTTTCTTAAAATACTATTTACTGTACATCTAATTTTGCCTTTAACATATTATAGACTATCAAACTGCATTCATACTGTTGTGAGAGTTCAATAAACTAATACACTTATAGTGCTTAAAACACTGCTTGCAACATAATTAAGATTCAAGAAAGTTTAGTTATATTAGCATTGTCTTTGTATTTTTTTAAATAAAGGTGACTGTCATTTTAGGACTATAGTGTTTCATTAAATGAATATATCAGAATTTATTTATTCTGACCCTTATTGGAGGAAATAATAAAAAAATGATGCAGGGAATGTCTTCTGTGTGTTTTTGTGCCAGTATTTATGTATTGAATAAAGTTGGGTTTTTTTGAATGACATGCTCTGCTATTCCTCTATACATCCTGAGGTACTTTATTTGCTCACATAGTCCCATTTGTCTCCTAGGTATCGCATCACGATTGGCAATAAGACCTGTGTGTTTGAGAAAGAAAATGACCCATCAGTGATGCGCTCACCTTCTGCTGGAAAGTTAATCAAGTACATTGTGGAGGACGGAGGCCATGTGTTTTCTGGCCAGTCCTATGCTGAGATTGAGGTCAGGATGCTGAATAGACTGTTGGGTCATGGATGAGAGTTTAGGAAAAGGGCTGGCTGGAATAGACTCAAGCTGAAAAATAACAGAAAGGAAATAGAAATAGAAAAGAAAGAATATCGGTTGTTTTAATTTGGGCTGTGAATCTTAAGATTTTATAAACAAAAGCTCACAGTTTTCCTTCTACAAGTGAAGAAACTCTGGTTCTAGGGAATAACACCTACTGACTGTTAGCTATAGAGAAAATATATGGTAGTTTGAGTTGGCACAATGAGATATGATGAATTCTGAGAGAGCAAAGCACAAGGCAGAGGGCCACCTAACCTGAGTTGAGGGTAAGGTACACAGCGAAGGAAGATACTCTGAAAGAGGGAACATTTTCTCTTGGTTTTGAAAGATAGATAGTACTACTTCAGGTGAAGAAGGTCATGGAAGAGTGTTTAAAGTTAAGGGAATACTGTGTATAAAGAAAGGCACAGAAGAATGAAGGAGTGTTCTGTATTTAGGAAGTGCAAGTATATATTAGTATTGCTTGAGAATAGAGTAAGGTTGAATGGGGAATGGCAAGTGAACGTACTAAAGAAGCAATGTGAGGCCTTGAATGTGAGGTCATAAAGGATCACATTTGCTGTAAGTTTACAGCAGTGGGGAATCACTGAAGGATTTTAGGCGGAAAAGTTCTGATGAGATTTGGCCTGTAGAATTATTGTTTTGGGGGCCTTGTTGGAGATGTATAGCAGGTAGGAAAATCTCTTCGGAGGTTTTTGAAGTAAAATACTCTGCGCCAGAAATGAGAGGACCCCAATGACATGGTGAAAGGTTTTTGAGAAAGGTTTAGAACATGTACTTGGCTAGGGTTGGTTGGTAGATAAAAGAGAAAAAGAAGTAAAGAATAGTCCTTAGGTTTTGACCTCCTGTATATTTTAGGTAGACATTCTGAGAGTAACTACCAGCTCCACTGGTATGAGGAGGCCAAATTGTTCATCACTTTTAAGTACAAAACAAGTAAAATCACAGACGGTAGCGAAACAGATTTAAAAGTTAGAAACAGAGGAACTGTTAATAATTGTCATTAATCTTGAAAGCTGGGTTCTAACAAATGATATAATTTCTCACCTTGGTAATCTGTAGGAGATGTTGATAGATTCCCATGCTTCTTGGGTTGATGAATTAGATTTAGCTGCTAAAGGAAAAACCGATCTCTTTAAAACATTTCATCTCTATAAGGAGAGATTAGATTCTAATTTATGTATTTCTCACTGTAGGTAATGAAGATGGTGATGACCTTAACAGCTGCAGAATCTGGCTGCATCCATTATGTCAAGCGACCTGGAGCAGCTCTTGACCCTGGCTGTGTAATAGCCAAAATGCAGTTGGACAACCCCAGCAAGGTTCAGCAGGTGAGGAGAAAGGGACTGTTGCCCTCAAAAGCTAAAGAATGTTGTGGTTTGGAGGGGCAAGTGCTCAGTTTTCCCCTTTTTTTTCTTATACACTCTTTTTTTCCTCTGATCTTATGCCTTGTATTTGTGTCTATTGTATTTTGGAAGTAGAGTTGGCAGGAATTAATATAATAATACTAAGATGCTATAATTTTCTTGTGATGCCTCTTCCACATGCCTCGTAGGTGGGTATGCTGATGAGATGTCTTGATTTTGGGTTTTTTTGTTTTTGTTTTTGTGGGTTTTTTTGGTACCTGGGATCGAACTCGGGTCCTTGCGCTTGCGATGAGATGTCTTGATTTTGAATGATGGCTCTGAGTTGAAGTGGTGTCTTTGTGCCTGAATAGAAGGTAATAAATGACAACTTCTTGTTGGGGTTGACAGGCTGAGCTTCACACTGGTAGTCTGCCATGGATCCAGAGCACAGCACTTACAGGCGAGAAGCTCCATCGAGTGTTCCACTGTGTCCTGGATAATCTGGTCAATGTAATGAATGGATACTGCCTTCCAGATCCTTTCTTTAGCAGCAGGGTATGAATTGGCTATCTTGGGAGAGGGATGTATAAGTGGGTTGCCCATTCTCCAAAATAGTTTAGTCTCTTGAAGATTCTTAGAGGGACAGGATAAAGCTGCTTGGCCTAGAATTCTCCCTCCTTTAGTTGCAGGATTCAGTCTTTAAATCCTTGCTTCATAGCTTTGTCATACATCTCATGTTTAGTTGAGATTACTCCTTTTTTTTTTTTTTTTGGTACCGAGGATCAAACTCGGGTCCTTGCGCTTGTGCAGCAGGCGGTGAAACCACTGAGCTAAATCCCCAGCCCCGAGATTACTCCTTTTTAAAACAGAATAGAACCAATTTTTGATGCTTACTCTGTAAAATATATGTATATATTTTTTTGGTTTTGAGACAAGGTCTTGGTGTATGTCTAGCCTGGCCTTGAATTCACTGTGTAGTCCAGGCTGGCCTCAAACTCACGGCAGTCCTGCCTCAGTCTCCCTAGTGCTGGAATTATAGGCATGTACCACCATGCCAGCTACTCTGGAATATTAAAGTAAATATTATGTGATAGTGAATTCAGATGTCTCATTTTATTTGGAAGAGTGTAAGTTTAGATCCTATTTTCTATTTTTTCTCAGGTAAAAGACTGGGTTGAGCGGTTGATGAAAACCCTCAGAGATCCCTCCCTGCCTCTCCTAGAATTGCAAGATATCATGACCAGTGTCTCTGGCCGTATCCCCCTCAATGTGGAGAAGTCAATCAAGAAGGAAATGGCTCAGTATGCTAGCAACATCACATCAGTTCTCTGTCAGTTTCCCAGCCAGCAGGTATTTATAGGGTAACACCATTATTTTCCACTGGCTACCACTGGAGGTCATGTTGTAGCATTCCATGCTGTTTGAATCCTCTTTACTGTCTGGATGTTGGCTTTTACGATTTTAACCATTGCATCCTTCACAAAACTGCCTTAAGATATTAGCCCAATAATGAAAGCAGTATATATGAAATATGAAACATCTTGTATGAGAAAAGCATGCTTTGTCTGTGTACTCAGTATAACTTTGTTCTTAGAGCTGATCTCTAATTAGAGGTATATTGTTACAAAGTGAGAGATATAGTATCAGAGACTTCTTTACTATCTTAGCAGTATTCTTTTTTTTTTTTGGTACTAGGGATCGAACTCGGGTCCATTGAGATTGCTGGGCAGGCGGTGAAACCACTGAGCTAAATCCCCGGCCCCCTTACCAGTCTTCTTAACCCCTGCTTATATTTTGTCCTCCTCCTCCCCAACTCTTTTTTTTCTTTGTGGTAATTGGGATTAAGCCCAGGGCTTCATCCCTGCTAGGCAAGTGCTCTGTCATTAAGCTACATTCTCATCCACTTTGTCTGTAAAGTAGATTTATATAGGAGTAAAGGTGGGCAAATGAGGAGTAAAATTTGGATTTACATTTGGTATTTTTTGTGATGTTGTCATGATTCCATTGGGGAAAGAGTCAAAGAATCAAAAGTTGCTTGCTTATTATAGTATAACTCCCTAAACTATGCCTGATGACTTCCAGCTGCTGCCAATGTTAGAGGCAGGAATTGGTATGTTATAACTAAGAAAATTCCTAGTAATGGTGCTGTAGAGGCTGATGCTTCAGGTCCTTTGTTAGATTGGGCTTTATTTATTTTCCTTTCTTGTGCTTTAGATTGCCAACATCCTAGATAGTCATGCAGCTACATTGAACCGGAAATCTGAACGAGAAGTTTTCTTTATGAACACTCAGAGCATTGTTCAGCTAGTGCAAAGGTAATTATACGTAGCTCCATATTCCTGTCCTGTCCATGCCACCACCTTCCTTTCATTTAAATGGTCATGAAGAGTATTCCCTCAGGTCTGACTTTGAGAAAGTAGAAAACACTTTATACCTCAGAAGCTACTTACATTTTTAAAATATCTTAGGATTGTGACCTAACTCTGATATTCAATATTTCTGGTGATTTCTTAATATTCTTTCCATTCATCATTAAGGCAGAGCAGTTCTGTTGTTTTCTTTGATGAAGATCCTAATTTTTCTTCTGACACAGGACCCAGTATGACATTTTTTCTTTTCAGCTTAAGGAGCCAGTTGGACTAAAGAAGTATTCATAGAGTATTTCAACTTTAAGATACTGTACTTAGAAATTTTTCAGAAATCTCTTTGGCATTTCAAGGATGTGGCAATAATTTCTACATAGCAAATGGAACTGAATAAGGATGCTGTTAGGTAGAGCTATGAAGTTTTTTGTTTTTGTTTTTCTTTTGTTTTTCTTATTCTTTATAAAAAGACCTCATCTATAGTGAGATTACTTTCAGGCTTGGGATTTAAATTCATCTACTTGGTTGATTCTAGGCTTGTCCCTATCCTGCTGTATATTCAGAGGAAAAGCCATTCAGGAGAAAGTCTAGAAAGTAAATTTGGCCTCTGGATTTATTATTTAATAGTGTTGGCCTGTCGGTTTTTTCATTGGAGACTTTTTCTATCTGCCTAGATACCGAAGTGGCATCCGAGGCCACATGAAGGCGGTGGTGATGGATCTGCTCCGGCAGTACCTGCGAGTAGAGACACAATTCCAGAATGGTAAACTTCCTCTTGAGGAATCTCTTTCTGAGAAAATTTGTAAATCCAATGACCAAACCAAACTATCCCTATTGGACTGTAAGAGTTAAGCCATTTTATCACCCTGCCCCCCTTTTTTGTATTTTGAGAATCTCACTATGTAGTTCAGGCTGGCCCCAAACTCATGGTGGTTCCCATGCCTTAGCCTCTCAAGTGCTGGGATTCAGGCATGTGCCACCACACCTTGCTAACACTTCCTATTAACAAACTTTCTCCATTCACTGCTCCCTTGAAAACTAAATTTCCATATCCCATTGGCACTAAAGAAAGAATGACAGCAAAACACAACTTGAGAAATTGTGAATTCCATGTGCTTCTGACAAAAGGCTGAGGCAATTTTTCTTTTTCTTTCTTTTTTTTTTTTTGGTACCGGATATTGAACTCAGGACCTTGCACTTGGCAGACAGGCGTGGTACCACTGAGCCATGTCCCTGGTCCCTTGAAGTAATTTTTCTACCAGAGATTAGCATTCTCTGTTGACATCTTCTTGACCTTGTGTAATGAAATTGGTCGAGTCTTGACCAGGCTGAAGTAGGAATTCCCTATCTGATGAGCTTGCCTCTCAGAAGTAATCCAGGGATTCAACCACAGGCGTATGGGAAGGGCTCTGATTTTCCACTATTTTTTTGTGAATCATTTAAGTGGAATTTATCTCTGGCTTTCTCTCAAGAACTTCACTAAATGAAATATAATCTAAGTGAAAAACACCTTGGGCTGTTTTAAAGCTATGTGCTTGTTAGTATCACTTCCTGCCACAAGATGGCAGTGAAACACCATGGAATTTGAAACAGTACCTAAAATTTTCTTTTATCTGTTTTGTTCCCTTTTGGATCCTTTAAAAGATGGCTCTGCCACTCATGACTAGCAAAATTTCCCAAGTAGAGATTAGCAAACTGAACCTAGAAGTGTATAAGATAACATATCACAACTAAGTTTTATCTCACTAATGCAAGGTTGTTTTAAGGATAATGTAATTTATCATGTACTAATAGATTAAAGCAGGAAGAAACATGGTCATCAACTCAGATGAGGGAGAAAAATCATTTGACAAAATTTAACATTCATGCTAAACATTTGGAAACTAGGAATGAAGTAGAACTTTTTTTATCTTATAAAGGTACCAACAAAAAATCCAGAGGATACATCATACACAGTGGCAAAATGTTGAAAGCATTCTCTTTAAGATTAAAAGTAAGGGGGCCAGGGATGTAGCTCAGTGATGCTGCACCTGCCTGCCAAGCACAAGGTCCTGAGTTTGATCCCTGGTACAAAAAAAAGAGAGAGAGAGAAATTAAGAGTAAGACAAAGGGCCGGGGATTTAGCTCAGCAGTTCCACCGCCTGCCTTGCAAGTGCAAGGTCCCGAGTTTGATCCCCGGTACCAAAAAAAATTTAAAAATTTAGTAGCTTTGAGGCCTGGGGATTTTCTCAGTGGTTCCACCACCTGCCTTGTAAGCACAAGGTCCTGAGTTCGATTCCTGGTACCAAAAAATTTTTAGTAGCTTTGGAATAACATGAATATTTCAACTGTTAGAATATATTTTCTATATTCTTCCGTGTATATATATTACAATTAATAGTTCTTAAAAAGGGAGCAAGTAAGAAAAGGGGTGGGGACAGTTTAACATCAATGTTTTCTTTCTGTTAATGTTTCCTCCCACCCCAGATAACTATATTCTTTTTATTTTCCCTATTCCTAATAATTCATATTACAAAATATATTTCTGTTGGAATTTCAAAACTATCTTGACAGAGGAACATATGAATTTATATAGGACAATCAGTTATTTTCCTGTAGTTCTGGAGATGGATCCCAGGGCCTTGCACATGCTAGGCAAGTGTTCCTACTGCTGAGCTACCTTCCCCAAGAACAACCAATTTTTAAACAGCTTCCATTTTGCTCTGACTGGGTCTTTTATGAAATTACAGCTCTCTAGATATTGTTGTCTGCTGCTTTTCAAATATATTTTAGCTTAATTTTTTGTTTGTTTTGAGACAGAGTCTCACTATGTAGTTCAGCCTGGTCTTGAACTCACTCTGTAGTCCAGGCTAGCCTTGAACTCACAGTAGTCCTCCTTCCTCACTGTCTCTTAAGTGCTAAGATTACAGATGTGTGCCACCTGTAAAATATGCCTGGCATATTTTAGTTTCACTTTGAAAGAGAAATGTGTAAGTCAATCTCTGATATTTAAAATAGCTAAATGAAAGTTGCTTTGGTCCAATGTCAGTATTCTAGGAGATCATGGTAAATGCAGTTCGAATATATCTGTTCTGGTTTGTAATTTAACATGGAATCTGAACTGAGGTAATAATCTTTTAGTATTTTCATAATTTCCTAAAATTCTTACCCTTGAATATTAAACACTAATTTTTCTTTCCTTCTGAGGTAAGATGTTTTCTGATAACTGAATGTTTCTTATATCCTATTGTACATGTCACTACAGTATACCAGAAGCTTATGTTTGTGTTGCAGCATAACTTTCTACCCAGAACCAACCTCCATCTGGTGGCCTTATGGCCAAACTTGAGCTAAAACTATTCTTAGTAGTTAGGGTGAAATATTTTCAGTATGTCAAACATAGAACCCGAATGTCAAGCTGGAATAGACCTTGAAGATCAAATTTAGTGGTATTGACATTTTTTTTGAAGCAGCAGAATCCTGTTTTCTAAGAAACTCGTATTGGGAAGCTAAACGAGAGAGGTTAGATTAAGTATGGGGTTGGAGTTTTTCCCAAACCCTCAGTCTTTAAGGCACATCCCCTCTCTGATTATTTAATTTAATTTATTTATTTGTTTATTTGAGATGGTCTCACTATGTAGTTTAGGCTGGCCTGGAACTCACTATGTAGTCCAGGTTGGCCTTGAACTCATGGTGAGCCTCCTCAGCCTCCAGAGTGCTGGGATGATAGACCTGTGCCACCAGGCCTGGCTTCCAGTTTATTTAGTATAATAAAATTGAGGCCTGGAAAGATCAAATGATTTGTTCAAGAGCAAAGAGGAACTTTGTAACAGAGCTAGGCCTTGTGCCTAGGTATTTTATTTTTAAATTTTAATTTAATTTAATTTAATTTTGCAGTGCTGGTGATTAAACTCAGGGCCTTAGCACTGAGCTACCCCCCTCAGCCCTTTTTATTATTTTTTTATTTTGAGGCAGGGTCTCACTTAAGGTACTGTGTTGCCCAGCTGGGCTCCAACTTGCTATTCTCCTGCCTCATCCTCCAGAGTACTGGGAATATAGGCATGCACTACCACACCTGGTTGAGCTCAGGTTTTATATGCAGGTTTGTGTGACTCTTAAGTCTGGTGTTCCTTTACCAACCCAAGTGCCATTTTTGTACAAATCCATCCAAGAAAGTTCTTAAGATGTTTTTTTCTTACTGCCTATCAGGTGAATTATAAACATTAAGAAACCAACAAATACCATGTAACTGTGAGGTTTCCATGAAGACCAGTTCTTTTTGCTGCTTACAGGTCACTATGACAAATGTGTGTTTGCCCTTCGGGAAGAGAACAAAAGTGACATGAACACTGTACTGAACTACATCTTCTCTCATGCTCAAGTCACCAAAAAGAATCTTCTGGTCACAATGCTTATTGTGAGTATCATTTTTCAGAACCTAAAAGAAAGGTTGATGATATACAAAATGTGGTTTTTTTAACTTCTGGTACCTCTGGTTAGAGGAGAAGTTACTGTCTTTTATAATGATGAAATGAATGAAGATTGGGTTATGGACTAACAGTTCTTACATTTACCGTTATCCTTGATCTGAAGGAAACTGCTATAATTAGAAAAGGGTTGTTTTGGCTGTGACGCATATAATGTTCACAGGAACTCATATCTCTTGACTCTATTTAGAAATTCCTTGTCCTTCCTCTTTCTTGTTGTCATCATGACAGTAAGTTTAAAGAGAAGTCTTCTGTAACCATTGTAGTCTTTCATCTTAATTCTTGTTTGTTTCAAAATAGAAGCAATGGCTCTTGTGTTTTTTTTTCAAAAGTCCATTAGAAATTCAATATTGTTCCTCCCCACCAAAGAAATGTAAGTGTATTCTACAATTTTTTGACTCTTTTGTTTTATTTACATTAAAAAACAATTTTTTTGGTCCTAGGGATCGAACTCAGGACCTTGCGCTTGTGAGGTTTACATTAAAATTTAAGCTCAGGTTATTGTATTAGTATTAGATATACTGTTTTTCCCCCATAACCTTGTAGTAAAGAAATAGTAGAAGTGAGAATGAGGGATGTGACTTGTAAATGTGAATAGGACTAATGTACATTTGACTGGGAAAGAGGCAGGAGTTTTATGTCCTTGAGGATTTTTAAAGATAATTTGCAGGTCTTTCACTCCTTATTCTTTCTGTTTAGTTAATTCTAGGAATCCAAGAACAATGGGACAAAATTTAGAATTGTTTTACCCTATAATCCTGAGCAGTTGTCTTGCTGTTGCATGTTTATGTTTTGGGGAGACTTGAGTTTCTTTTTTTGTCCCTTTGTGGTACTTTAATTCTATCATTTCTTCTTAGAGGAAAAAAACTACCATAAAGCTTCACTACCATTTTTTTATTTCATACTGGTTAACAGCACTGCCACTCATTCAGCTATCTGCCTAGCTAGTTAACTCTATAGGATACAACACTTTTCAGACTAGCCACTTTTTAAAATATGTAATTACAGGGAGAGTTCATTACCTTTGCCATCCCAGAATGACTAGATGGTAAGGAAATAGAATATACATTTGAGAAGGGGAAAAATACAGTATGTGGGTACTAGGGAATATTTCAACTTCCCCAAGTGACAGCTTTCAGCAAAGCAAGTACACAGTCTATGGCAATTTACTAATTTTTTTCTCAAAGAGGAAAGAAATCTCTGACTCCCCCCTCATCCCGCTTTGCAAATTTTAATCCAGGGATTGCTAATTCTCATTGGATAAAGACATGACTTCTGGTTGAAAGGGGTAGTGAAAAGAGAGAGAGGAGAGAAGAATCTGTCAGTTTGGACCTCGAATGGGGTGGAATTTGCCTTTATAGGGAGCTAATTATGGTGCATTTTTCATCTTATTATGATTACCTTAAGAACTTAACAGTTTTTTGCACTAAAAATAGACCTAAGCCCAGAATCCTTGGAGTAGCAGAAGAGTAATGATTGTCCAGGTCTGTTGCTGGGTTTCTTAAATTCTAATTTGTAAGATATAGGGGCTCAGCTCGCTCCTTTTGCGGAGTGATTGTAAGTAACGCTTGCCTTAAGAATCTCATTATTGGAACACGGAGCCATATTTCCTCTGAGAATTCTGGAGTAGCTTTGAGCCGGGGCTGTTCATTTCTCAAGTAATCACACTGGTGTGATGGAGAGAGAAAATGGCAGCTGTTCGGAGCTCAGGCCTTCAATTTTCTTCAGAGTCCAGTCACTCAAGTGTGTAATTACACGGGGGTTGCTGCAGAGGCGTTGGGCCCTGTCAGAGAACTGGTTTGAGGCTTTGCTTTCTGCTTTTGCCAGTCAGGACAGGCAGAACCCAATGGGACCCTGACTTGCTGCTGTTTTTTACCCCTACCTTGTCATCCTGATTATTTCTTACCTACATTGATTGTACCCAAACTTTCTTTCCAGCATGCTGAGCTCTTTGGAGAAAAGAGTATTTGGGTTTGGATGAAAAGGACAGAGGAGGTGGAGGAGGAGGACGAGGAAGAAGAGTAGGTGGAAGGTTGAAGATGTGAACCAGGAAGCTGGATTTGTCCTTTTTTCTGTTTTGGCATCTTCACATTTTTCTTTACAAAACAAAAGAAGACTCAATGAGTATAATAGTATTTGTAGGCTTGTATTATCATTAATTTCTTTTCAAATATCAGTTATTTTCACCTCATCTCAGAGATTTGGAAATCACAAAGCTAATTGATGTGATTAAGCTTAGCGCCAGCTAGCAGTGACAAATGGATCAGAGATGAAAGTTCAGATGGTGCTCCTTTCTGATCTGATATTATTGAATCCCAGACATGTCCTCCTCTTTTCTTCTTTGACAGTGGCCAGCTGTCCCCTCTTCCCCATCATCTGCATTAATAGTAGTAGCTCATAAGAGCCATTTTAGTCCTTAGGATTACTTGGTCTTATTGTCTTTTACAGATGTCACAGGGAGATGGTAGCATTTCAATTCCCTCAGCTTGTGTTCTCATCTGTTCCCCTTTCTTTTCTTACCTTGGCTTCCTGATTGATGGTTTTGTTCCTAGCATTCCAATTCTTTGTTTTCTAGAAGTAGGAATGTTGATGGTGTGCTTTGCTGAGCCAGGTGATGATTTCTGTGGTTTTTGGGCCTAGAGAAGGAATCAAGGAAATTAGGCTGCTCCAGTGAAAAGGTGCCTTCATCTTCCCTAGCATTTAGCATAAATGGCCCAGTAATTTGCCTCAAGAACTGGAGCAAACTTCTAATCTTTCACCCCATATGGTCCTGTCAGGTTTTCTCCATTTGGAGAAACAGTGTACCACAAATGAAAACAAAGTCTGGATAACCAATAATAAATTAACTTTTTGAAAGCTCTTTTTTTTTTTGAGCTAGGATCCTAGTATGTAATCTAGGCTGGACTTAAATTTACTATGTAGCTCAAGTTCCCAAGTGCTGGCATTATAGTCTGTTTCCTTATTTCTTAACTTTAAAATTATACTTTAAAGCCAGGCGTGGTGGGGCACGCCTGTAATCCCAGCACTTGGGAAGCTGAGGCAGGAGGACAACTGTGAGTTTGAGGCCAGCCTAGGCTACATAGTGTGTTCAAGGTCCACCTGAACTACATAGTGAGACCCTGTCTCAAATAAAAATAAAGACAATAGGTAAAAGCTTAATATTAGAAGAGCTTAGAGCATTTAAGGACCCTTTGACTACATTATGTTATATAAATAAAGTATCACAGCTATCTAGATAGCCATATACACATTCTGTAACCCCTTAGATGCTGAGTAGTCTAACCCTTAATTGCTTATGTCTTAGTTGTAGAACAGTCCACATGAAAATGCTTTTATATAAGTACCATGCATAAAATTTGCTTTAGACAGAGAGCATCTAAAATGTTAATCAATGCCTGTTGTCGTCGTTGTCGTCCTTCTCCTCCACCACCTCCTCCTCCTCCTCCTCTTCCTCCTCCTTCTTCTTTTTTTTGAGGGGGTACTGGGTCCTTGTGCTTGTGCAGCAGGTGGCGAAACCACTGAGCTAAATCCCCGGCCCCCGTCCTTCTTCTTTTTAACATGACTGCATATAATTCATCCAGTGTGTAAGTGGTCTGATACAAAGTGGTGAAGTGGTTATCAGTGGTCTGATATGAATTTTATTGATTAAGGTTGTTACTATCAGTTTCTTGTTAAATCTGCCTCATAGCATCATTGGAATGTCAAAAAGTCCAGGTATGACTGGAAGAAGCAACTAGTCCATTGCTGATCCTGGGATTAAGGTCTTACACAGCTGAACAGTAGTTAATGTCTTGAGGGTATTATACATAAGGTCATATTCTTTCCATTTTTAATTGACTCCCTCAGAGATATTTAAAACTTAGGATGCTAAGGTCAAGTTGAACTACATTGGGCTTTTCTGTCAGTCAGCTGCATAAGTTTGGCTCTGGTTTTGATACTAAAGCATGATTATTATATTTCTGAAAATCCAGTCATCTAGGACAAGAATAAAAATAAGAATACCTGTGTTGTGTTGATCTTAACTGTTACTGAAAGATAATTCTGTAAATTTTTGTAAATGACCTGTAACCCCCAAATCAGCGAGTTGCTTCTTCAAGTGAACTGTGTCATTTAAACACATTTGCTGACTTAGTTGCCTTTTAATGGCTTTGTCAAAATGTTCACCAGGATTAGATGGTGATGTTGGGCCGCACAGTTACCCAAAGGAAACTAGTATCCAGGATAGAAGTCCATGAGGTTCCTGCTGGATGTTTGCATTGTAGAATGAGTGGCTCTGAAGAAAACTGATGAGTTTCTTTCAGGACCTCAACACTATGTCTAGTCAAGGACAAGAGAGTGTTGAAAAAGTTGTTCTACACATAATTTTCTTTTGCCAGTTTTTTGTATGTATTAATTATGACAGTGGACAAAATAATATTTGAATGGAAAATTTCCAAGTCAGTATATACTAATGGAAGTAGTGGTTTGTTCTTATTGTGCTTCATTTTTCACATCTCAGAAAGGTCTGTTTCATATCTGTATTTATACATTCCTTGGAAATTCTATTTTGTTTATTCTCAGCAAAAGATGAGATTTATTTTCATTTTCTCATTCCTCTTTGCTTTTGTGCTTAGGATAGGTGGAAGAAGTCCTTTACAATGTGACTATATATTCAACAGAGTCCTGGATTTATCTGCCCTAATAGCAGCTTTTGTTTTCCTCACTCAGATGGGTAAAAACAGTAGTTGTACTTCCTTAACTAGAAACCATGAGTTTTATGAGTTTGGACAGTTGGAGCAGACCTTTGTTTAGTGAATTGGGAAACAAGAATCCCATGTTCTGAATGATTTTCTCAAAATAATAAAAAGATGGAGGGAGGGAGGATAGAGATGGAGGGAAGGAGAAAGTGGTGTAAAAAGAATTAAGATATGTTGCATATATGTACTCAAACATATACTAGTAAAAAAGTTTGAGACACCCTCTCAGCATAACAGTGCTGAGTATTCCCAAAGTATTTATCTGTGATATAGAGCATAGTAGGGGTTTTAGAAGAAGTGTTTTGGGAAATGCATGACTTACCCAAATGCCATATCCCATACTTTTATTTATATTCCTATGGTAAAGGACTAAACATAGAGTATCCCTGAGATGGAAAAGGGTAAGTATGAAGTAGATAATCTTCAAGAAGTGGGCTGGTAATCAAGCAATGGGGAAAAGATTAAAAAGAAGCAACAGAGCTGGTGGTTTAGCTCAGGGGTAAAGCATTTGCCTAGAAGATGCAGGGTCCTGGGTTTGATCTCCAGCCATACATACATACTCACAAATACACACATGCACGCATGTATGTACACACACACACACACACAGTCTTTTTTGTCCTAGAAGAAAGATTCATTAAACAGATTTAAAGTTTTTTCAGAGTCTAAGTACAGGAAGCAATACCTAAATGTGTATGTTTCAAATGATGATATATTAAGAATTACTACACTAGTAGCTCTGTAAAACTTTTAGAAGGACAGACATTTATAAAAACTGTATTTATAGTTTTTTTGGCTTACATAAAAATTGCAAGGATAATAGATGAATTTAGGGAATAAACTGATACTCTGCTGGACTCCATTAGAAATTTTTTTCTCAGAATATCATTTAAAAATTTTTTGGAAGCAGAAGTGCCTAATAATAAATAAATTATGGATTCTATGACAAAAGTTTGTTTTTCCTCCAATCCAGCTAAGAATTCACCATGTTTAAAGTCATAGAATGATTCTTGGTATAGGAACAAGATAAATGATTTTGGATACAGAATTGCCACAGTATGAGATGGTGTTTTAGGTAGTGTGTGTTTATAAAAGAATAATTTATTCTTGTGTTTCTGTTTTGCATTCTCCTGGGATGGTAAACATTTGGTTTGTAGAATTATAACTACCAGGGTGGCTCCTTTGCCTTATTCTACCTTTTTTCTTAAAGTAGGAGAGGGAACAAGAAGGCTGTTAGTCTCTACCTCTTTTTAAAACCCCTTGAAACTTTGAGATATCATCTGTTATTTCTTACCCAGAATCCCCTTGATCCTTTTTAGTGGTCTCTGATGATTTCTACTGCATGTTAAAAGTATAGTGTTAATTTATAAAGAAATACATTAAGAATTTTGAACCTGAATGAGATATTTGGACTGTTCCTCTTTAGCAGCTGCTTCCCTTGGGATCATCTTTACCACATTGTGTTGAATAAAAGTAATAGGAAGTTTACATTTTTTAATAATTCAGCTTTGTTTTTTTCTCTTTTCCTATTCAAAGTCTTTACCACTGCGATTCTTATTAATGTAGTTGTGTTTTTACTTTATTGCATTAACAATTAGGATCAGTTATGTGGCCGGGACCCTACTCTCACTGATGAGCTGCTGACTATCCTCACTGAACTAACTCAACTCAGTAAGACTACCAATGCTAAAGTGGCACTTCGGGCCCGTCAGGTAAGGACGGTTGTTGGTTATCTTGAAGGTGGGATGGTTTTTATAGTTTGGGAAGTTCTTGAAACAGTGAGCTTTTACTTAATTGCCTTACAAAGATCATGCAGTTTTCTATATATGTCAGGTTGTTCTTAGAACAAATGTTTTCATGTGATTTTTTTTTTTAAAAGAAAGGAAATGATTAATATTGAGTCTCTAAAGGTAGGAGCCCTTTTCCAGTTATAAAATCCTTGTATTGTTCTCTACCCTCCCTAGTATCCCTGTGATAGTAAACTAGGGTCAGGTGGAGGAAAGGAAACAGAGGGGAAGAAATCGACTCAGTATTTCTCGCTTCCCAAAGGGAGCTTAGAAACGATGAGAACTGTTAAGTAGGTAGGAAATAATCAAATGTGGAAAGCAAAAAGATAATGAAATGAATCTTAGATGCTAACGATCAGAACAACCCCAGAGAAGTCCAGTTAGTTTCACCCTGTAGTTTTCATTTCCATTCCAAAAGGTTTCAGCAGGGAAGCTGAGAGTTGGTGCTCCCTTTGTGTTTCAGTGCTTGGGCATTGACAAGGAAGCAGTATTTGAAGTTGTTCAGTGACCTTCTGCTTTCTCTACAATTGTATCCATGTCACTGAACTACTCAAAGTTATTGAACCTCTCAGTGAACTGCTGAGGGTATTCAGGTCCCACTGTGTCTCTGTTTATTTGCGACACTGCTTTCACTTTCTCTGCCTCTCACATGCATTGGTGTTACTTCCTGATGCCTTCTTGGTACTGAGTATCTGGAACTATTAAATCAGCTTTTCCTCTGCCGTTCTACTTCAGAGTTGCAAAGGCTAGCTATCCTGCATCCACCTACCCCACAGCTGCTCTCTGTCAGACCTGATTCCCAATTAACAGCTAGTCATGCAGTCCCTAGGACCAGCAGCTTTGCAATGGTAAATCACATGCACTGATGGAACTTGATTGAAGCTGTTCTCTCTCCCTTCCCTCTGCCTCCCATGGGAAATTGCCCACAACTCAAATCGTGGTGAGAGTCAACTGAGATTCACTATTTGGTAGCATTGACTTTATGCTGCAGGACCTAGAAGTTGGTCTCTGTTTTATCTTTGATGCCTGTATTTACAGATTTTTATTTATTGCTTTTGTATCAGAGCTGCCTAATAGGAGCCTAGAATAATCACTCCCTTGAGAACTTATGCCTTTTACTTTGCTCTCACTGTAGGTTCTTATTGCCTCCCATTTGCCATCTTATGAGCTTCGCCATAACCAAGTAGAGTCTATCTTCCTATCAGCTATTGACATGTACGGACATCAGTTTTGCATTGAGAATCTGCAGGTATATATATAATAACCCTTTTCTGTCACTTTGCACTCTTGTCTCCTTTATTCCCACAAGCATAATTCAGTAATCAATTAATTTAGATTTCCATGTAATGAAGTTTTATACCTTGAATTTCAAAAATGATTTATACTTACGAATTTTTTTTCATAAAAATGCTGTTAAGACTGTGGTTTAGCTTAAAAATAAAACAAGCTTGTCTTGATAGAAGTGTCCCATTAAAGTCTTTACTTCTTGTGCATTTACCTAGGAAGTATTCTAGTCTAGAATTAAGTGGCAGTATTGTTTGATTTCTGATATTTTTGTTTGGTTTTTTTTGTTGTTGTTTTTTGTTTTTTGGTACCGGGGATCGAACTTGGATCCTTGCGCTTGCGCAGCTGGCGATGAAACCACTGAGCTAAATCCGGGCCCGATTTCTGATATTTTGAATCAGATGTACACATTAAATGACTGTTTCTCTTCTGGAGACAAAGCTATTTAAATATAATTTAACTTTAATTTTATTTTAATGTTTATTATTAAGCTTTATAAAGAGCCAGTTTTAAAAGATTATTGGCAAATTTTACCACTAATTGGAAAGACCTCAAATATTTTTAAAACAACATTACTTTCTCCGAGGTGACTTTCTGGCGGTGTGCAGTGGTACATGCCTGTAATCCCAGTACTGAGGGAGGCTGAGACAGGAGGATCAGATGCTTGAGTCCCAGCTGGATAATGTAGGGAGACCCTGTCTCAAAATAAAAAAATGCAAGGGCTGGGGATTTACCACAGTGGTTCTGCCGCCTGCCTTGCAAGCGCAAGGTCCTGAGTTTGATTCCCAGTACCAAAAAATCAAAACAAAACAAAAATTCAGAATAAAATAAAAAATACAGTCATACTCATACCTTGGTACTGACTGTTTTGAACCTTGTCAAATTTGGTCCTCAACGTATTTTGATGTGAAAATTTTGACTCAGTACTTGTGGTTTAGTAGTGGACGTGCAACCTAGCACTTTGTCCCTGTTAATTGCCTCATCACTAGTGACCCTTTCCAGCTGAAACAATTTGTTTGGTGCTTATTGTTTTTTGTACTTGTCACATCTTCCAGAACCAATTAATGACAAGTACCTAGGTAGTACTGTCAAAAAGGGTGGAGGATGTAGCACACTGTTAAAGCATCACTGGATTTGATCCCCAGTGCCTCAAAACAAACAAGAAGTGACTTTCTATTTTTCTACCTAGAAACCAGGAGTATTATTGTATATCTGGCCAAAGGAATCTTCAGACTTGTAAGGTTTCCTCCTAGGAAACCTAAAAGGGAAAAAGAATGTTTTTTCTTATTTGGTTCACAGTTGAAATCAAGGGGTTTCAGCAGGCTCAGATCTAGGATATATCATAGTGGAGTATTTAGACAATATTTACAAAGTGAAATACAGATATATGTTGGAAAGGATAATAGTAACCAGAAACACTTAGACTAATTAAGTGTAATTAATACATTTTAATGCATTATTCTAAGAATTTTATGTGTATAATCTTCACAACAGCCCTATGAAGTGTTATTTCCTCCATTTTATAGCTGAGGAAACTGAGGCACAGAGTATATTCATATATGGCAATCATAGACATCATTCTTAGTTTTCACTAAATGCTTCAAATTGTTCTCTTTTGGTTGTTATGGTTTAAACCTACCTTTGTACCTTCCAGAAACTCATCCTATCTGAAACTTCTATCTTTGATGTCCTACCAAACTTCTTCTATCACAGCAACCAGGTAGTGAGGATGGCAGCTCTGGAGGTGAGTGTTTATGGCATGTGACACGACCTTACCCTTGCTGTCTTCTGTGTGTGTGGCTATCATGCTAGTTCTGTTTCTTTGGTCACAAGGTTGGTTATTAAGGGTAATCTTTTTCTTTGAAACAATAAATGTTTATTGTCTTACTCAAGTGTTTCACCTGAACTAAACAATTTCTGGGTTCTGATCACAGAGAAATAGCAGCCATTATTTTTCAGTACTCTCGAGGTATTTGAATTCTTCCAGTTCATAATGAATTAAGATTCTCTATAACACAATAAGTAAAAAATAATATATGACGAAAAAAAATGTGGCTGATCAAAACATGTATAATGTTGCCATTTTGTGATTTAGGCCAAATTAAAATGGATTTTTAGTTATATTTTGAATTGGCAAAGGAGTTCTTATAAAATGTTATTTTATAGGAAAGAAGGCGATAGGATTTAATGAACTGTAGGTTCATTTGATGAACTTTTTCATTTAATCCTACAGTTAATTTTATGAAGTAAAAGAAAATGAGACTGAAGCCATGTGTGGTGGCATACACCTGTAATTCTAGTACTCTTGGAAGTTGAGGCTGGAGGATTAGACATTTGAACCCAGCCTAGGAAACTTAATGACTTAGCAGTGTCTCAAAAGGCAGGGTAGGGGGTTGGCTGAGGATATAGCTGAGTATTGAGGCCTGGGTTCAGTCCCCCAGTACTGCCCCCTCCTCCAAAAAAAAAGTGAGACTTTGAGTGGTTAAATTACTTGTCCAGAAATCATATAGATAATAAGTGGAGGAATTTGCATTTAAACTCAGGTCAATCTGACTCCAAAGATTTTTTTTTTCCACTGTAGCACACTACCTCGTGAAGGACAAAAATTGTAGGCCCTGACTACTGTGTTACAATTGCTGAGTAGATGTATTTTGAAGATGAGGAAAAGGAATGGTTTAGATGATTTTTTTTGTAGTATCAGCATAGTCTGTTGTTACCTCTTTGGAGTTGCGTTTTGTTTGTATTCTGTGGTTAAAGTGTGTAAAGTATCCTACTCAGTAAATACCAAATACTTGAATTACCTAAGTGTTTTTCAGGGTTTGCATGTCATTTAATGAGAAGTCTCCTTACATATCTCACATACTGATAGAATCCCATGTAGCATTTTATGTTCATGGCAAATTGAATGTGAAGTGAATGAGAGTAGACTGCCAGTTTTTTTGCTGAAACGTAGTCTGCTACTGTTTCTTTAACTCAAGTCAAGTTAATGTATTTGAGATATGTCAAATTATGCCTCCCTGCTTTTGCCTGGAATTGGGTATCTAGACTATTCAAAACTGATTTTAGGTAGTAGGTTTAAAAAAAACAATACAAGATAGGAAAAGAGTTAAAGTGTACTGCAGTGCTTCCATCTTCTATCTTTATTCTTAAGTGGCCTGGAATCAGCACCTGTCATTTTTTATCATTCTTCCTTTTGTCTTCTGTTGAAATGATCATGTACAATGTATTAATAGTTATGGTTGTATATACTGTCTTTTGCTAAAGATCAACCTTCTACAGAGTTTAGCAGATATTGGTGGTGAACCTATGGCATGCATTTTTCTTTTAAGACAAAAGATCTTAATGTATGAGTTGTTTTTTCCAAACTAAAACCTCAATGTTCAGGTTTAATTATAGTGTTAGCACTTTGGAATAAATAAGTATGTTTTGGGTTGCAGTTTGGATACTCAGTCTCTAAAACGTTCGCCATCACTGGCTTAGGGTAAAAGGATTACCATGCACCTAGAGGTGTACAGCAGAGGCAGCCTAGTTTTATTTCCATCTGTATTCATGGAGCTAGCACTGAGACTCAAGCTTTATTTTGGAAAATATGTACAAGATATGATAAAAAAAACTGGTGGATATTTAAACTTTTAAAAATTTATGGACTGGAGATTTAGCTCAGTGGTTCCTCTGCCTGCCTCACAAGTGCAAGGTCCCGAGTTTGATCCCTGGTACCAAAAACACCCAAAACAATTATTACAGTGAAAGACACATTGTCAGACCCCCTCAGTTTTGTTTCTTCCCTCTTGTTTCAAACACACTTATCCCATTGTTGTTGCCACTTTCTGAAGCGGTTCTTAAAGTCTGCCTTCAGTGTCTTTAGTCACAATAATATGGCTGCCTTGATGTCCCAAATCAATTCTAAATATTTATCTTTCACAATCATTTTGACTTGGGAAATAGTAAGAAGTGCACTGGTACCAGATCTGGTGAATAAAGTAGTCAAGGACACATTATAATGTTTTTACAAGCCTGCATTTCCATTGAATGGCACTCACTAGCACCATTCATCATATTTTTTTTTATCATACTTCATAAAGACACTTACAAAAGAGGACTTCTAGGACTGCTTCAGAAGTAGCAAGAATGATGGGATAAGTGTGTTTGAAGCAAGAGGGAGTATTTTGAGGGGGATTAATGCCAATGTGTCTTTTGGTGTAATATTTTTATTTAAATGCACACCATATTTTTTTTTATCAGCCCTTATATGTACAGGACCTTGGCCTTCTCACTGCAGACTACCACCTTCTACATAAGATACTTCTCTTTAAGACTCTTTTTCCTGGTATAGCCATTCTCTTCCTTTTTTGAAGTTTATTTACTGAGAATTACTTTTTAACCAGGTATATGTTCGAAGAGCTTATATTGCCTATGAACTTAACAGTGTACAGCACCGCCAGCTTAAGGATAATACCTGTGTGGTGGAATTTCAGTTTATGCTACCCACGTCTCATCCAAACAGGTGAGTTTGAGTATGTTATGTGCACCTGAGCTAACCAGAGGCCTATCAGGAGTTATGAGGAGTAATGAGTATGATAATCCCATATTTTTAAAAGCTAGAAATACAGAGTAAACATGAATAGATTTAAACCAAAAGAAAAGAACTTCTTGGTCCCTGCATCTTTGGTCCAGAGAGGTAAAGTTATGGTCTAGTTAAGATAAAAGTTTAGGATTACTCCATTCATTTTTGCCTATGTTATGTTACTGGAGAAACATCCTTCTCTTCCTGCCTTCTGTCTGTCTGTTGTCTGTCCGTCCTTCCTTCACTCCCTCCTTTGTTCTCTTCCTCCCTTTCTCCCTCCCTCTTATTGGAACTTTGCCAGAAAGTCACTTATTAAGTAGTTTTAGTCAGCAGTTCAAACCAAAAAATATTTTGAGTGGAATGCTTTGCTTTTTTTATGTGTTTGCGATGGATTGAAGTTGTACCTGAACTCGTTTTATTATCTCCCTAAAGACAGATGCCTGAATTTAACAGTTGAAATTCAATTGGATTTTTAAAATAACATTTTAGAACCAACTTCTTAAATTTAAGTAAATTACGTAATTGATCATGCTAATTCTATTAGTATTTTTTCCTTCCTAAATCCTTTAAACTGTACATATGCAAATTGTTTCGGTATTGCTTTGGTTTTAAAATGAAATACTTTATCTTATATACTCATTTTCAGAAACTGTTCTGAGGTAATGAAAATCTAGGTATTCTACCCACAAATATGTTCATTCCCTCCTATATTTTCATTCTTTTTAGTAATACCACAGGAAATATAAATACCACAGCCAGTCTTAACCTGCCCTTCTCCAATTCTTTTTTATGGCCTTTGGTTCTTCGTTTGGTATTACAAAGTACTATGTCTTTGGGGATCCTTAGTTATAGACACCAGAAATGGTTTTGTTCTGAATTGCTACTTCACCCAAAGCAATGGAGCCTTTCTGGAGACAAAGAAATCTGTGCTGAGACTTCTGACCACTGGATGCCACTGTTGATCCACTGGAAGTCAGCAGATGAGCAGAGTCATCTTCCAAAAAAGTACCACTCTTCTTTGTCTCAGAAGATCCTTTCATTTCTCTACCTCAAAAATGCCTTTTGGCTGGCAGAGAAAAGCGTACATCCTTGATTTAGCAAGCATCTCTTGGTACATTTTTGCCTCCATGGATTTCAGAATCTCATTTTCAAGAAAGGAATGGTTGTCCTTCAGCGAGTGGCGAAGTACTCATGGCACACATGGGCTCAGCACTCAGTCTTTCTTTTCCTACATTCCTTGAATAATTGTGGAGAACTACATGCTATACTTAATGCTCTGTAATTCTCAAGAGAATCTTCCTTTCTTCCTGTTTTCTACTACCTCTTCCCTTTGGGCAGTGATTTGTAGTCAGCCTGCCGGGCTGCCTCTGATTTCCTTCCCTTCTCATCGTTTCCCTTGTCTTTCTGAATTGCTTTCCCTGCCTTACAATTGTTTGTTTTTGTTTTTGTTTTTAATTCAAGGCTGGGTATCCAGTTTGGTGTGGGAAAGTTAACTGAAAAATAAGGGAAATTCAACTGCTTTGTTAATAAATCCTATTCACTTTTCCACATCAAAGATGTGAATCTTGGTTTGTCCTGATGTTTTAAAACTCACATACTTGTCCCTTCCAACATCTATTGTACACTTCTCTATGGATAAAGACCAGGATTGAGCAGAATTGTAATTTGTAGTCTCCAAAGTCTTCCTTGATTAAGTGTGTAATTTTATTTTATTTTATTTTATTTATTTATTTATTTTTTGGTACCGGGGATCGAACTCCGGTCTTTGCACTTGCGCAGCAGGCGGCGAAACCACTGAGCTAAATCCCCGGCCCGATAACAGTATTTCTGAAGCTTTAAAATTACACACATAGGGCCAGGGATTTAGCTCAGTGGTTTCGCCGCCTGCTGCGCAAGCACATGGACCCAAGTTCGATTCCCAGTACCCCCCGCAAAAAGAAAATACTGTTATCATCAATATCAACATTATTGGTATAGATCTGAAAGTGAAGATAAATGCAAAATAAGGAGGAAAGAATCTCCATGGAAGCCAGAAAAATGTTAAAATGGCTTTAATATTTTTTTGACCTAATATCCTTTTGTTAGTTTAGGATTAGATGATTAGAGTTGATCACAAAAGGATATAAAGTCATACCTTGGTTCTCAACTGCTTTGAGACTCACCAGATTTGGTACTTGAGACATTTTGGTCAGAAAATTTTGTCCCAGTACTTGTTTGTTTGGTACTGGACATGCAAGCTAGAACTTGTTTGGTGTTTATTGCCTCATGATTTGCTTACCCTTTCCAGCCAAAACAATTTGGTACTCATTGTTTTTTTGGTACTGGGGATCGAACTCGGGACCTTGTGCTTTCAAGGCAGGCGCTGGGACCACTGAGCTAAATCCCCGTCCCGATACTCATTGTTTTTGATACTTGTCAAGCCTTTGGGAACCGGTTAACAATAAGTACTGAGGTACTACTGTATTTAGTTTATTCAGGCAGTTATTACAGATTTGCTCCTCGAATTGAGTTAAGATTTTATTTTTCTTACAAATGTTTTTGTTACAATCTGGAGTTACAACCTTATTCTGACACAAACTGGTATTTTGCAATTCAATTCTGACATTAACCATTTAGAATTCAATCACACAGCACAAGCTAAGGGGTTATTCCTCCACAAAACTCCCCCTACTTCAAATAGGGTTCCCTGGGCCACCTGCACTGTTGACTGACTGCAAAGTTGAGGGTTCCCAGAATTCCCTTACTTCAGTAATGCCCTAGAACAACTTACAGAATTTAAATACTATAGTTTTATTGTAAAGGAAACAGATCAGGACCAGGCAAATGAAAATGCACATTCTAGGAAGATATCAAACACGGCTTGCCTATTTTTTTCTCTGTACAATCAAGGTACATCACCTTCTTAGCACATCAGTATGTTCACCAACCAAGAAGCTCCATTGACTTTAATGTCAGGTGTATCAGGGTTTCATTTCATAGGCATGGCTGATGCTGATTGAATATTAGGCTGCATGATTAAATTCAGTCTTCCCTCCCACGGTCAGGCTAGGTCAAAGCCACAACCCTCTAATCTCTTTTTTTGTTTTTTGATTTTTTGAAACAGGGTTTTGCTATGTAGTTCACGCTGATCTTGAACCCATGTAGTCTAGGCTGGCCTCAAACGCATGGCAACCCTTCTGCCTTGGCCTCCTGAGTGCTGGGATTAGAATATGCACCACCATGCCCAGCTCCAGCCCTCTGATCTCATATTCACCTTTCTAGTGGCCAGTTAGCATCCTGTATCATCTCATTTCATCTCTTATTATAAACTCAGGTGTGATTCAAGGGGCTCATAAGCAACAAAGACACACCTATAGCTTGGGAAATTTTCTTTTTTCTTTTTTTTTTTTTTTTTTGGTACTGGGGATTGTACTCAGGACCTTTCACTTTCAAGGCAGGAGGTGGAACCACTGAGCTAAGTCCCCAGCCCTAGCTTGGGAAATTCTAAGATTTAGATACAGTATCTCTCTCAGGAAATAGGGACAATAGCCAGTAAGATTCTTTGTTGTATAGTAAGATTACTCACCTTTAAAAAGATTTACTTACTTTTGAACTAAGTACTTTTCCTAGCTCCAGTATTCTTATTCCTTTCCATTCTTTTTTGTTTTGTTTATTTTTGGGTTTTTTTGAGGCAGGGTATTGCTATGTAGTTCAGCCTGGCCTTGAACTCACTGTGTAGCCCAGGCTCCTCCGCCTCAGCCTCCCAAGTTCTGGGATTACAGGTGTGCACCACCACGCCGGGCATTCCTTTCCATTCTAATGAATCTCACAATTATTTGAGGAATATTTTGAAAATACATATATTGGGATCCTGGCTTCCAAGATCTGATTTATTTTGGATTACAGTCTAAGTGACTACTTTTTACAAAACTCCTCTTATAATTCTGATGAGCACCTGTAATTAAGAATCATTAGGGCCGGGGATTTAGCTCAGTGGTTTCACTGCCTGCTGTGGAAGTGCAAGGACCCGAGTTCAATCCCTGGTACCAAAAAAAAAAAAAAAAGAATCATTAATTACTTCTAGACCAGCACTGTCCAGTAGAAATCTAATGCAAGTCATATATATAATTTTAAATTTCCTATTGTCCACATTTAAAGGCCTAAAAAGAAACAAAATTAGTTTTAATAACATTGATTTAACCTAATATATGCAAAATACCATTTCAATATGTAGTATAAATTACTAATGAGATATTCCCTACTCCTTTATTCTAAGTCCTTGAAGTTCAGAGTTCATTTTATTTTATTTTTATTTTTATTTATTTATTTTTTATTAAATTCTTTTATTGGTACATTGTAGGAATACAACACAATTACATTTCTCATTGGGAATTGTACCTTTACATAATGCATCTTGGTTCTTATTTTTTCCCCATTCCTAGCCCTCCCTTCACGCCCTCCACCCTTCCCTCAGAGTTCATTTTAAACTTACAGCATAACTCTATATAAACTAACCACATGTCAGCACTTTATACCCAGTCCTGGCTACCGCCATATTGCTCAGCTCAAATATAGACCAAAAATTAATTGAGACAGTCACACTAATTCCTTTTTGGTTTATATTAATGGTAATCCCCTTAGGAGAGAGGAAAAAAACCTCTTTTATTGCTTGTGCTTAGTAGTTATTGGAATTATCTGCTTCTGATAACTAATGATAAAACACCATGATATTTTACTCATACTTTAAAAATTATTCCATTAGAATAGAGAATAAGCATATGAATCATGTGTATTTTACTCAACAGTGCAAAACAGATTATAACGATTTTCCCAATTGAGATTATTAACTCAAAAATTCTTTGGGGAGAAAATACATTGTTTAATTCTTTTGCATTTTCTTTCCTGTTACTTGATCTTCACATTCCTAACTTGGTGTTCATTTGAAATAGGCTAAATTTGTC